ATTCTGGCTATGTTGGGATGACTTTTTCCTTTGGAGCATGTTTGGAAAATGCTTCCATATGTTATATGTATGTGTGTATATATATGTTTCTTTTTTTAAAGGGTATTTCCTATATTTCTTGTTTTCAGTGTCATGGCTGGAGAGCAAAGGGAATGTTTGTACCACAATGAATACTACGCTGTTCAGAAAGGATGTTTGTTTTTCCTTAAGAAAAATGTAAAATTAACCTTGTCTGTGCTTCTACGTGTGTGTGTGAGCCTTTTGCTGTTAAAAATAAATGAGCTTGTGAGATGGTGAAGGGTCTCCAGGGAGGTCTATGAGTATCAGGGTCGGCCAGTACTGCTTATATGCTCTCTTGCTAATAACAGTAGCATAGGAGAGCTTGTTTGCCAGGCACCTGGGGATGCGGGTGCTCTATGATGGCTTGGTGTTTGACTTGCCTCATTAACTTCCTGCTTCTTAGGGGGTCAGATTGTGCTGGCTTAGACTTGAGAAGATCATATTAGTGTCTGATACGGGGGGACATTAGCAGTGTTGAGTAGCTGTCTGCCCATCCTTTCGCCACAGAAATGACCCTCTGTCCCAGCAGAGCACACCCTTTAAATTTATTTTCTGCTCCTAGCCCTGGCCTCTGCAGGCAACTCTGCTGACATCTGTTTGAGGTAAACGCAGGAATGGCTGCTCCACCAACAGTCACAAGTTCAGCCATAATTTGAGACTAAATTATGTTCAGTGCTTGTTGACAGTGTTGTGAATGTTTAATGTTTCGATTGCCGGACTTCAGTCTTGTGTCAATGGTCTTAAAGCTTCCTTTGTTTGCAAGAGCACCGGTTTTAACAATGCTCTCTGAAGAACAGAGGTCTCATGTTCTGCTCATGGTCTCTGTAGCTGCCCCTGTGATAGGCTGCGTCACTAGAAGCTTGGACCGAGTCAGTGGAGGATGGGCTCGTAGCTGCAAGTTCTGGTCACAGTGCTGTTCCACAAAAATAGCCGTTGCTGAGTATGAAGAAGTTGGCAGGGATGAGTGGGATCTACATGTGGGCATGTTCTAGCTATGATGTGCTGGATAAGTGCAGATGGCAGAATAGTTTTACTTGGCCATCTTGCCCAAGGGCCTCCTGGGAGATGGCTGCAATCTCGATTGAGCGCTGAGGTAGCATTTGGTTGCTTTGCTGTCTTCCTCAGGAACTCTTTAGTAGAGAAAAAGGAGTAATTGGTACAGCTGTACGGGTGCAGGTTGCAAATATTTGTCCAGGGTCAATTTAAATTTAGGCATTAGTAAATTGGACTAAGGGACTATAATCCATTTTGTCTTCTGTTTAAATAGAGAATACTGTAAGGCATTAGAACTACAAAACCCTAGACAAATAATGGAAAGAAACAGCAAGTGGTAGAAATATGTATTTTTTTCTATCAAAATAAGGTTTATTAATCCCTTGTAAGGGATAATTGTACTTGGCTGTCGGTAAGCTTCCCCCATACCTAGATGAGTTAGTTTCGAATCATTTGGGTCATCAAGCAACCTCTGTATGTAAGGAAGGGTATAAAATATCTTAGGATTTTGAAGTGAGAGTAGCTTTAGTACTTAGGCATGGTTCTTGAGTTCTGCTTCATAAATCCCACAACTGTTTGGTTTTAGGGAGATTCTGGTCAGTTCATAGGTATAATGTTATTGAAAGTAGCTCCTCCTGGTTGGAAATCACAAAAAACCCAAAAGGTTTGGTTGGTAGACTCAAAAGTAATTTAGTTAGCTAAGGAACTTAATGCATATGCTTTGATTGTACTTTTGTGTTGGCTATTGCAGCCTCTTCTCTTGAATTCCTTGTCCCAGTTGTCTTATGCTAAAGCAGAGTAAGAGGAGGCTTTTCGTAGCCTGGCCCATGCCTCTGTCCCCAGCCTTGCCTCGTTAAATAAACATAAAAATTACTTCTGTGTGTAGTGCTGCAACTTGACTTTGCATTGATGGCTTTTAAAGTTATGTTCAGTTGCTAATTTTCCTGGACGACGGACGTGGCAACGTGCTCTCTTACATCACGCAAGGCATCTGACACAGCAGTGAACATAAATGTTTGCGGATACAAATGTTTGAAGAGTCCTACTAGATCAGTGTATAGTAGGTACTGCTTAAATAACTTGTGCAGTGCCTTTAAATTGCCAACACAGTTACAATATAGCACTTAAACTATACTACCTGTAAAAATTAATCTCCAGCACAAGGAACTGTGATAATTTGGATATACTGTCTGTGCTGAAAAACATGCAAATGTGTTGGAAAATAACCCTGACTTTTAAAATAGTTCACAGGTATCTAACTGTGCATCTTCCTTAATAGGAGGAGGGTAAATTGAACAGATTCAGGTAGACAGAGCCACTTTTATACTAACTGTTAAAGCAAGGAACAGTGATTGTCATATTTGATGGAGCATGTTTGTGTGAAGTGCCAGGTAGATGCCAACTTTGTTTCTGTGCTGCCACTTAATATGTGATTCTGCAGTGTTGCTTGTGAAATGTAATTATTCACGTGCACAGGCAAAGATGATGTTGGGGAGGGGGGGATCCACACCAAAAAAACCCAAAAGCACAACCAAACCACCTCTGAGACAATGAATTTTGACTGCAGAGAACTCTCAGATATTTTTTTTTTTTGGAAGTTGCATCATTTTAAAATGAGTGTTTGCTTCCAAAAAAACCCAGTTAATACTGTATTTTAATATGTATCATTTCTGTGATGTAGATGTGGATTTGATTTACAGCTAGATGAAATATGTTAAATTCTTAATTTCAATTTACCATGGAAGCTAAACATTTTGAGACAAGAAATTAATTTGCTGATGGTGGAGTTGAGTAAACTGTCTTGAAACCTCTGTCACTAACCTAAATAAAACCTCTGCCTTGTTGTCGAGGTGCTGAACCACAGAGTTCAATTTTTAGATGCTCAGACTTGAAAAATTTGCTTAAGCAAATGGCATTTTATAAAAATAATTCTCATATGCCGATAGGTTGGTGTATGACTTCTGTTTTTAAGGTACTTTTAAGTTCATTGTGTTTCTTGGCAAAATACAATTGTTTATTTTTATCGTAGTGTTTCAAACATTGAGTGTCTTTAAATCTGTTTTTTTAATGAAACTTTAAAAATGGAACTTAACTTTAATGTTACTGCTTAGTGTTCTAATTAGTATCCAACTTCTAACTAAATGTGGTAACTTTTTTTAACACTGGATCAGAATTATCTTCAGACAGGTACAGTCTGAATTCACGTGTCAAGGTGGATTTGCAAGACAAATGTACAACTTCTTTTTTTTTTTTCTCCGTGACACTTGTTCAAAAACTCAAAATGCTAAAGATGTTTTTTAGAAGTTGAGGAGAAAATGTTAGCATTTAGGACATCGGATTTTTGTCATTCACCATTTTGATGGATAAAAATGTAATTTAGAGTTAGTGTCTTTGGAATAATCGCTACTAGTTGTCTTAAGTTGGATGTCAGTGACTTTTATTCCTAAAAGAATCTGAACCAAATTTATAATGAAAACGAAGTAACAAATATAAGCAATAAAGCTAAATGTTAACAGTTGATTTGTCAGCAGTTTATTAGCCCTGCATTACATCCCTGGTAAGCTTCCCCCAACTTCCATTCTGGAAACTCTCTTCTCATACACATAACCACAGAATTTTGTGTTCTTTGATATCTCAGTTAGGGTTTTTTTTTAAGACTGTGTCGCAAAAGTCCAGGTTTGATTACCTTGTTATAGGAACCCCATTGTATTGCCTGAGTCAGTGTCTCCAGTGTTTGGCATGTGTGGGATGCAATGTTCTTGCTTCCATTGAGCAAAACATGGCTTGATTTGAATTGTAAGTATTTGTGGGCAAGAGCAGTAGTTAGCATGTATTTAAAGAAAGAGCTTGAAAAGAAAGCAAGCTTTTTTTCTTACACTGGCACTGCTGCTCAGCAGGATTTTTCTCTCTGCTTGCAGGCTTTGACTGAACTGGGTTTGACAGTGTCAGGCTTTGGCAGCACAAGTGACTTGAGTTTCTGTTAGCTCTGCTGCTGCAGTCTGGCGTGGATGTGAGAATGGTGCAATCTTTGCTTAAGGCAGAGCTGCTGAAGTTTCCAGCTATTGCATTAGGAATGGGATCTCTCTTGTGAGAGCACAATAAAAACATTCTCTTCTCGCTTTTCTTGCTGTTACTTGTGCAGTGTTGAGGAGGAGGAAGAAGACAGACCTGCGGATGGAGGGGCAAAAAGTAAACTGCAGAAAAGATGCTGTGAAGAAACAGGAAATATAGGTTAAAATAAGAAAAAAAAGTCTGAGCTGGGGAGTTTAGCTTGAAGAAATCGAGTTATTGGGTAGAAGTTGAAGTGAAGGAGGAGTTGGGAAGAAAGAGAACTACAACAGAGGGGGTCCAAGGCTGAAAGATGAAGGGTCGAGGCAAGGGTGAACAAATGTGGGGAAGCAGTTCAGGATTTAAAAGTAAAGTCTGATTATATTTTCCTAAACTTGCATAGAAAGGGTCAGAGTGAGTTTGCATGTGCAGTTGTAAACATTGGTCTCCCCTAAAGCTCAGTTACTTCACTTTGCATGCTGAATGTTAGAATCATAGAACGGTTTGGGTTGGAAGGGACCTTAAAGATACCCTAGTCCCCCCCCCCCTGCCATGGGCAGGGACACCTTCCACTAGACCAGGTTGCTCCAAGCCTCATCCAGCCTGGCCTTGGACACTTCCAGGGATGGGGCATCCACAGTTTCTCTGGGCAACCTGTCCCAGTGCCTCCCCATCCTCTCCGGGAAGATGAGCTTACACAGCCTTAAGTTTGTACAGTACTACCAAAATGAGTGCGTTTGTTATGGAGATGGCTCCGAGTTTAAAACTGACTGACTTCTGCTTGTAGTATTAAAAGTGACTCTATGATGACAGATTTCCTGAATACTGACTAAATACTTCTTGCTGCTTCTTCTTTTAGACGGGGCTTGAATCCACCCCACAGAGTGAAGTCAATTTCGATGACTACTTTCACACAACAGGAAATAGAATTTCTGCAGAAGCATGGAAATGAAGTAAGTATTATTTAGAGAAGATAAAGTGTTTTGAGCACTTTATTATTAAACTTTAAAACACTGCTAAGGAAAACACAATCTTTTTTTTTGGTAGCAAAAAGTAGACTGAAGCCTTTTGAGGCTGATCATAATGTTAATGTGTTATTGCTCAACCCAGACAAGCTGGATTCACATGATCAGTGTTTGAGTTGGGTTTTCTTTTGCCTTTTCATAAGGCAATATGCATCTGTGTTTTCTTTTGTTTCTGCAGTCCCAGACCTTGAGATTGACTGCAGCAGTCTCTCCTGAAAGAGGCAAAAAGTAGACTGAAGCCTTTTGAGGCTGATCATAATGTTAATGTGTTATTGCTCAACCCAGACAAGCTGGATTCACATGATCAGTGTTTGAGTTGGGTTTTCTTTTGCCTTTTCATAAGGCAATATGCATCTGTGTTTTCTTTTGTTTCTGCAGTCCCAGACCTTGAGATTGACTGCAGCAGTCTCTCCTGAAAGAGTGTAATTTGTCGCTTGTAGCTGTGTGTCTTCAGAGTAGGTGTCAGAAAGTCTTCTGGTAGTTTCAATAGCCTCTTTCTGTAATGAAAGTGTATCAGTGGTGAAGGTTCTTGGAAGAAAGGGAGAATGTCTTTCCTCTAAGGATCGTTATCTAGTAAATGTCTATATGTTTAGAGTGGCTTGGGGCAGCTTTGAAGACAAAGTTCTAGGGTACTGCCTTTTTTTTTTAACAGATGAAAACTGAATCTAAGTGTTTGGCTCTGTGGGGACACAAAGCACATGTAAACCCTGGCTTTGGCTATTGCTGTCTTCAATTTGAAGATGCAGTTTGTATTTTAATACTGAACTATAGCATTTTAGAGACATCTTTTGCTTCTGTTCTGAATTAGAATAAGTTCTATTTTACCTTGATTGGATATATATTCTGTTTTAGTAGAATTATTGATTGTAGGCTGTGGTGTGTCTTAGCAATATGTTCTTGTGAAGCTTTATGGGGGTAAATCCCATCATTAGTTAAAAAGTTGATACTTAACTGTCTTAAACTTGGCCCGTTCGTAACTGACAGGTGGAAGAATCAAAATAGAAGTAATGATTCCTTTTTCTGTCCTGGTAAATATGTGTTACTAGTTACAATGATTGTACGTGGATGATTCCTCTAGACAGAGTTGAAACAAAGTGTAAACTCTTCCAAACATAAAAATACTCTTAATGGCTTTGACTAGGTTTCTTGGACATGTTTTGGCATGTTAAAGCTGTATAGTATTGCATATATGTGTGTGTATATATGTATTGCATATTGCTGACTTTTTGCGTTGGGAGTATAATGAATCTTTGTGGGTTCAGATATAGTATGTTGGAGTTTCTTTCCTTAAGATCAGATGGTGGACTCCAGCTTTGCTTTAAGCTTCACAGGTGTAAAGGATCATGTGTGTATGCGTGTCCGCCATCCCCATATCTGTCTTAATGTCAGTTTTTCACTGAACCTGCAATGGCTAGAGAATGCAACCGGTTTTATTTTTCACTGACCTGAAACCTTAAATGGTCCCTACTCAACTCATTAGTGTAGTTGTCCTTCTCATTGACTAGTCTGCCAATCATAATGATTTGGTTGATACACAATTTATTATTGCTGTAAAACAAGTTCACAGATCTCTGCAATGCTATTCTGTGTTTCAGAAGCAGGGGTCTCCCTGTTTGTAGTACTTATGCCTCTAAGGTATTGCAGTGATTTAAGTGAGCTACCTCATAAACGAAGGAGTCCTTCCAAGTTTAGTTTTGGGTTGTTGGATGGCAGCACATTGCCTCAGTTGTAAAGTAACACTGAACAGATATTTGTAATTGCAGATTAACAGGTGCTCAAGTGCTGAACAGAAGTGGTATTGGTTTAAACACTGTTGGAAGTTTAAAACTTAATTGAATGTATTTTCACTTTGTCATGCTGCATGTTTTGGTAGTTAAATAAGTATGTTGCTTTCCCGTGTTGGTATTGGACTTTAGAGTACTCACCTGCAGATAAGATAAGGATTGGGCAGATGAAGTTGATCTGACCTGACAAAAAACCTCTGTTGCTTAGCATGCCCTTCAGTATAGGTGGCTCTTGTGTGTATATTAAAAAGTTAAATTTTCTAGGATAAACTTATTCAAACATGGAACTGTCCAACATTTTACAATGTGGACGTGTGAAACAAAGCATGGTTACTGAATGGTTTAGATGTTGTAACATTTAGTTTAGTTCTGCAACTATCAAAACCTCAGCCTTTTGCACTGTAGTATGTTTTACAAGCTACAGAAAAATGGAAGTGAAATACTTTTTGATTCCCACTTTGTCCTCCCAGTCTTTCTCCAACATGGCCAAGACCTCTGTGGTAAGGTGAGCAGATCTTCCAGGTGAGCAGATCATGTTGTATGATAGGGAACTTGGTCTGAACAGAAAGGAAAATAGCAAGAAAGTTTTCATGAGACGAGTTCGTTCTTAAAGTAGCGAGTTGTTCTCAGAGGAAGTAGTTATCCACTCTCCTTTGAAGAGTATTTGTATGGTCGGTGTACTGTATGAGTGAAGTCCTCGTAAAAAAAACCCCAAACAAACAAACCCCCTAACTCCCACAGAAAACCTAATCTCTGACATAGTGACTTCTCCCCAGTTGTCACAAATTGCCATCTTTGTGGCACACATGGGTAAAACATTCTGTTATTAAAGGCTTCTACAAAGCAACTGCTTTGGGAAGAGATTATTCAGAGCAGCTTCTCTTCATGTGCGAGACATCTCCTTCCCTATATATACACCTCCAAGTAATGTCTTTTGGGAACAGGTAACTTGAACTTTTTTCAGATGAGGTTTTTATTGCTTCAAATAAAGTTCTGTATCTTTTTACTGTGTTAGAGATCTGTATTTTGGTGTAGCTTACCCATCTGCAGGTGTATACAGATATCCAGACTCTTGCTAATGTTGGGATGAGCTCACTTTTGCAGTGGGAATGGAGACCTCTTCAAGCTGATACTCCTCAGGTGCTTTCTGTAGTCATTTTGAAGGATAAAGGCAATTCTGACTCACTGGGTAGGATTTTCCTCTACCACCTTCTCTTCATGAAGAGCAGTGAGAGGTGTTTTCCCACTGCAGTTTCATGTTAGGAATAATGAGGAGAGTGTGGTATGGAGATGGTTGTGTTTGAATACTCATAGATGCTTGTTGATTAGGCCTCTGAATTAGTAGTGCAGTGATAGTAGAAAGTGAACTCACTGCGGAAAGTGGAGGTGGTACTCATCTCATGTTGCTGTTGTAGCTGTGAATATTTATTCAGCAGCTTTCCCCTGGAGCTGAAAAGTAGTATTATGAGGCAAACCAGTTACACAGTTTTCTTTCTACCACAGTTTTGAAAAGTGTCGTATGCTTTTTAAGAATAGGCTATTTGGATAGGTTATATGCCTAGGGTGGAAGAAGATGATTTGGATGCTCTTGTATTTGGAAAAATCTGTGTTCATCTGGTGGTAAAGATCTTGTTTACTTGAGGTAATGAGTAAAACCTATATGGATTCTACTGCTTGGGATTAGTTTATCAGTGCTTAATTCTGGTTTTGTACCCGTCTTCCTTACTCTTGATAGACCTGAGCAAGTGTTTTTACCAGTTTCCTGTGCTTCTAGATACCAGGAGGACCTACAGTGGCAGAACTAGGAGCAGTATGGGGGTTGTTCAGAGGTGGTGCTTGGCCTGCCCAAAATGCTTTCCTAGGATCTCCTTTGCTATGGAATGTGGCTTAGAAACCCTGGAGTGGAAAGAGCGGTACTAAGCTGGAGCTGATGAGTCCTGACAGCATGAGCTGTACAGTCAGGTGTCCTTGTAGTACATCCCTGGTTCTGCTAATATGATGCAGAGATACATGAGCTGATTGTGTGTAGAACAATGTCTTTGTTAGCAGGATTTACTAGCTTGGACTCTGTGCTCATGAAAGCAGCTATAGCTTCTGGACCCAAACTGCCTTTGAAATCGGTATACTGGCAGTGTAAAATTCTTTTAACCTACAGAGATTAGTGGATAATATTGACACCAGAAGTGCTGAATTACTAAACAAAGCTATAATTTGCTTACATAAGGGAACTGTTTCCAAATCTTTCTTCCTGTGGCGAGTGTTATGTTTTGGAACATAGTTTTGTTGTGTGGTAATCTGAGTTCTTTGCACTGTCAGCATTACATTTGGTGCCTAACTGAGGATATTTTACTGGTGGGGGAGGGGGAGAAGAAGAAATCTAGAGTTTAACCAACTCCTGAAAGGTAGTAACTCATTAGAGCTTTTTAAACTAGACTGACGTGTAATCTTCCTATGGAATGGTATGTCTGGGTCTAAACAAGAAATGCTCTACTGCTGTAGGTCTAGTAGTGTGCTTATTCCGCTTGAAGTGCGGCTTCTACCTGCCGAAGTACTTGTCCTGTTGCAGCTTTTCTGTGCTGTGCCGCCTTTGCTGTGTGCAAGAGATGGTGGCTTCATGAGGAAAAATGTAATTTTGCTGGCCTAACTGAATTCTTGTTGTTCCTAACTAGCACAGCTCTGCTAACAGGAGTTTCTAAAGTGTGAAGGCTCAATGCGTTGTGTAAGCAGGCGGCCTTTGTCTCTCCCATATCCGCCTTCCCACACACACTGGAGATCTGTATCATTGAAATAGTTATGACTTGGTAAAGTGGTGTTTGGTAGTTGAAATATGTAGCACTGGAATAGAAATAACTGAGATCTCAGATCTTTCTGAAGCTTTCAGCAGAATTTGATGGATACTGCTGAAGTTTGGTTTTTTTTAGTGTGCCTGTCCTTCCCAGCTCTGTAAAAACACACACAACCCCCCCAAAAACATGACAACAAACCTAGAAGCAAAACCAAAAGCTAAACATTTGTGGGAAATGGATACATTTATGTTCCTGTTAGCCTTTAGGGTTCTGCCTGTAACTCCTGAAAGCATGAAAAGTTACTGTGAGGCTGGGTTTTAAACCGGAAGCCTTTCTGGTCCTCTTTGTTTTGTGGAGT